CAGCTGTTTGGCCCCTTGACTGTGGCTCTTCCACAAAATACCATGGCCTGGGCGGGTCTATTTTGAAGAAGTGGCGTTAGAAGTTTAAGTTTTAAAAAATTGGCCCTCAAAAGGAATTCCAATCATTATACTGTTGATATTTGGCTCTGTTGACTAACGAGTTTGCCGACCACTGGCCTAGACCCTCAGGAAAGGCTTCTCAGCTGAAGGTGAGCAGAAGCCTGAAGGAGTGAGGGAGTGAGCCATGTGAGTTTCTGAGGGCAGAAAGAACAGGAATGCTGAACCACTTGCCCTTAGATACTTTAATACACTATATCGCCTTAGAAAAGTTATTTTCTCTTGCACAAGAACATTATAATTATCACAATGATAAATTTAGCATTGATACATATAATACTCTTCTTTAATTCTCTATATTTTCCCTGGATCCAGGATTCAATCAAAAGTTTGAGACACCCATTAGACACCCATGTGGATATATAAATAAAATAGAACATGTGTCTGGAATTCAAGAATAGGTTGTATATGTTGACAGATATTTTGAAATGAGAAAGTGAACTAATTACTACAGAAATATGGTTGGACTGTGTGTCCATTTGAGGTTGATGGTTATAACTTTACAATGAAATCAGCTGGCCCAGTTGTGATTTTCTCTAGCAATATTCAACTGAGGTAGTAGAAACACAGCAAAAGCAGACAGCTGGGTTTAACCTTGGTTAGGAAAGTGGGTTAGGGTGGACAGAGACAAGGAAGGTGACGGGGTTTATAATGGAGTTATGGTGATGTTGGGGCGCCGACTCTATTCTAGATAAGAAGTCAAGCAAAGAGAAAAGGGGACAGATGTTCTATCACACAAAACCAAAACATTATTATTTAATAAATACTAAATACTTGTCTTTTTAATATTTACTTCTGGGGGAAAGGCCTCCCTGTACCTTTTTTAAGAAAAAAATAGGAACAACCAGTCATTATTATTAACAAATATTTATCAAGTGTTTACTATGCAGAGAAAAATGTGCCTGGTGAAAGGATACAAATAGTAAAACCCACCTCCTAGAGGTGAAGCATAGTAACCTCCATCTTGTATAAAAACTGCTGTTTGAAATTCTCTGGTATTTTAGATAGTCCTTGTTCTATAAACTCTGTCATTTTTAGACAGTCTCTTATTCTATAAAATAACTGTTTTTAGCTCAAATAATAAAAAAGATAAACTGTTGGACCTTGCAAGCTAGCCATCTAATGTAACAGACTAATCTGATAATATTCCCATATTCTCATGCTAAGTGTTTATTCATTATGTATCCAAGGTTATAAGCAGTCTACAAAAATAACTTACACAAGGCTCTTTGTAAAGTCTACAGAAGGTCCGGAAAAACCCATACAAAGAACTGGAAGCATATAAATAAAGCAAGCTTCCTCCATGTTGTTTGCTGAGAATTTGACAGAGATATTCTGCTCTGAGCCTTGGTGTAATAAAGACTCCTAATTAATTGGCTTGTTAAAACATCTTGTATCTAGCTCGCTGATTTATGATACAACAGAGGCAGAACTAAAAGAGATCTGAGAAATCATTGCCCACTTCCCTCAATGTACAAAGGTAGCAGTCAAGGTAAAATAACTTATCCAAAATCATTAAGCTTGTCCACTGGCAGAGCCAAGATGAGAACCTAGGTCTCTGTACCTCTCTAGCCCAGCATTATCTCACTCAGCCTCAAAAATAAAAACATTAGAAAATTTGTGGACAACTGTACAAATTCACCTTGGGAGATGGTACTTGGAGTGGAGAAGTTTCCTACTTTCCACTTCAGAACTGGAATTTTCTGTCATATACATTTACTACTTTAATAATAAATACAGCCTGGCCAGTGTGGCTCAGTGGTTAAGCACTGACCTATGAACCTGGAGGTCATGCTTCAATTCCCAGTCAGGGCACATGCCTAGGTTGTGGGCTTGATCTCCAGTGTGAGGTATACAGGAGGAAACTGATAAATGGTTCTCTCTCATCACTGATGTTTCTCTCTCTCTCTCTCTCTCTCTCTCTCTCTCTGTCTCTCTCTCTCTCCCCTCTCTGAAATCAATAAAAATGTTTTTAAATAATAATAAAACAATTATAATAAAGTTAATTAAAGAAGAAAGCACACAAAATTTTGTGTGGCAACCAAAATGGAATACCTTCAACTTTTTATCATCAGTTATTTTAATTCTCATCTGTTGATATGTATATTGATTTTTTAAAATATATTTATTGATTTCAGTATCAATGATGAAAGAATCATTGATTAGCTGCCTCCTGCATGCCCCACACTGGGGATCAAACCACAACCTGTACATGTGCCCTGACGAGGAATCGAACTGTAACCAGGCTTGATTTTTGAGAAGAGCGCTGATCAGTTGCCTCCCATAGGCATCATGACAGAGATTACCAGCAACCTTTCAGTGTAACACCGCTCCAACCAACTGACCCACCCAGCCAGGGCTATTATCAATCATTTTAAAACTCAAGGTATGTTACCAACCTTGACAATGTAAAGTACAACACTATTAACATGTGTGTAAATGAAGCCATTGGGTGGATGATACAAAAATATAGGCCAAAATTGCTGTGAATCTTTTCCTTTCTTTTTTGTTTGTTAATCCTCACCGGAGGATTTTTTTTAGAAAGTGGGAGGGAGGGAGGATGGAAGGGGAAAGAGAGGGAAACACTGCTGTGTGAAAAACACAGTAATTGGTTGCCTCCCTCATATACCCTGACTGGGGCTGAGGAAGGAATCTGCAACTTAGGTATATGCCCTCGACCTGGAATCAAACCTGTGACCTTTTGGTCTGTGGGCTGAGGCTCTGTCCACTGAGCTACATCACACAGAGCTGTGAATCTTCTCTATACTCTCAGAAGGATATAAATGCAAAAATTCCATTGCTATGGCACAAAAGCAAGGTAAAAATAGATTACTCTATTTTAAGTCATATTCAAATGCTTGTCTTCTTTATATCCAGGGCTTACTTTATATAAGGTTTTCTACTCTCTACCTGGCCTACCATAAATTGCATCCCTAGGATCAATGAAACAGTCTTTGCAGCTTTGTTTTCCTGAAAGAGCCTGTACGACATGTCTTTTCCCTACTACTCACAAGATGTGGGGAAGGTTAGCCACTTATTAAGGTAATTCTAATGGATTAAAATTTTAAAGTTGCTTATTTCAGTTCCTTGGGATAATTTATGACTTTGCCTCCAAGTAGAATCCCTAAAATAGACTAATGTGCACAGAAAGAAAACACCATCCAAACAGTAAGCACTTCAGGGGAAGGCAGCCAGCTTAACTGGTTTTAACAAAAGGGAAAAGAGCAGAGGAGCACCCACTGCCCAGCTGCCACTGGAGCGCCTGCGCCCCTCCAACGTAACAGGAGCAAGGCAATCTGGCTTAGGTCTCCAGACAGGCAATGCAGGCAGGGATCTGATGCTAAACTCTTTGTTCAGTGATTTGGCTGTGCTGGGCTCCCATTTTCGGGATTAGCCAGGCTTGTTCTGACTGCGAGTCATCTCAGTTTAACCTGGTGTCAAATGACAAATGATCATTTAAACAAGTAAGGTTGTAACTCTAGTGGTTCTTATATCAACCAGTGGCTCTGCTTTTAAGGAGCAAGGACTGGCAACCATGGCCAGCAGGCCAAAAAATAAAATAAAAGCTGTGACAGAAACTGCCCGGCCTGCAAAGCCTAAATGTTACTCTCAGAGTATTGCTTCTGAAACAGCATAGGGTCATACTGGACTCCATCGTGACCAAAAGAACACCATCTTAGAGGCTTTACTATTGCTTCGGGCTTTCAGTAAAATTCTGTAGTTAAAGGAACTTAACCACACCACATTCTTAAAGAACGTATGATGATGACATCCTTTCCAGAAACATGTTCTGCCGGAGTTGTTTTGTCCATTTAATGGTAACGGAATAATTATGTAAGCATTATTTTACAGGCCCTGTGACCACCCTGGGATCAACCATGGCCGGAGGGCGATGATGGAACCATCAACCACATCCTCATTCTCAAGCACTCCACCTGCCCAAGGCCCCTCTACAAGACACCACAAGAACCGGGTGGGGAGCTCGCTTCCCTCTTCTGGTTGACTCCCTTGTGCACAAGGTCTTTTTTTTCCTTTTGTTAATCTTCACCTGAGGATGTTTTCCATTGGTGTTTTTATAGTGTGGAAGGTGAGGGGGAGAGAGGTGCCCCAACCAGGGCGGGAAATTGAATGGGCAATCCAGGTGCGTGCCCTTGACAGGGAATCAAACCTGAGACCCTTCAGTGTACCAGCTGAAGCTCTAACCACTGAATCACTCCGGCCAGGGCTGCACAAGCTCTTTTCAATGAACTCTTGTTTGATGTGTACTAAGCTCCCTGCTCATTTCTATGACACTGAGACTGGAGAACGTGGCATTCTAGGACAGTAACACTTCCTCCCCGTACCTACATAAAAGACCCTTCCTGTTCCACCTCTGCCGCTTTCTCAGAGCTCACCTCCCCACGGTTCCCAATCACGGCTCTGTTCCTCACACTGCTTGCTGCTCTCTGCTTTGAATGCCAAACCAACTCCAAATGGTCCCTCGAAGAGCAGCTCAGGCATCTGCTCCTCCCAGCTAGTCTCCCCCTCTGCTGGACAGCAAGACTTACACACACGGCAATTTTTAAGTCAACCTCTTTCCTAGTTCTTTAATGGCACAAGTTGTTTCTGGCTCCTATTCTTTAACCAGTGGGTAACATATAGTAAATGTCTGACACGTGTTGGTTCAATTCCTAAACAAAATCGGTTGTGGCTCTGGAGTTACTTAGGCTAGAAATGTAAGCTGGGATAGCGAGGGAGACGGACGATTCGAGCACCGCCGGGTCTAGAGAAGCGGCTCCCACTGGCGACTCCTCCCTTTTCGGAGTTTCTCCCGCCCAGTAACCGCCTCGTTAAATTGTGGCAGATCTGAGCCATGATCCCAGAAAGTAGAGCTCTAACTGTACCTCCATCTGTGCACAGGGGAAGCCTCGTATCTACGGAGTGACTTCCTCGGGCTCCGCGCGGGCGCTTCAGACCGCGGGTTTGGAAGGCTCCGCGTCCCGGGCGGCTCCGGGCGCACAGACCGGCCAGGCACAGGTGGGCGGGACAGGTGGGGTGCACAGGTGGGCGGGTGCAAAGGTGGAGTGGGGTACACAGCCAGGTGACCAGACGTCCCGATTTTTAAAAATTTGTCCCGCCTCCCGCGGCGTTTTAAAAAAGTCCCGCGGGAGGCGGGACAAATTGTTAAGAGATCGGGACTGTCCCGCTTTTGGGATGTCTGATCGCCTTAGTACACAGACGGCGGGACTCTAGGCCCGGTGCGTCCCCGGCCCGAGCCGCACTCCCGTCCTCCCCGACTTTCGGCTTCCCTCGCCCGCCAGTTCTCCCTGTCCACTTTCCTCTAGCTTCACCCAAACCACTCTCACCTCCGTCCCAGACTCCGCCCTACGGAAGTCACTACACATCGCCCCGAACGCTCGGCGAACCGGGAACTCAACTTTCCCGCCAGCAGCGCCATTTACGGCGGGCGGCGCCGGGTTCGCCAGTGAGAGCGTTGACCTGTTGACCCGGACGCAAACGTGCGCGCTGCCCCCGCCCTCAGCCGGCAGGAAGTGGGCATGCGCAGAAGGCGGGTACGCGGAAGTGGGCATGCGCAGGAGGCGGAGTCATACGTGCGCCAAAAGGCGTGGGGTCAGAGGGCGGCAGACTCCATTGCGTGAGACACCACATTGCGTCGGAGACCGAGGCGCGGCGGGTGACTACTTTCCTCTCACAAACTTCGTCTTTACTAGGTAAAGTTAACTGCATGTACTTTTTTAAATTATTACTTTTACTACTAACAAATCATTTACCGAGTAAGCAGGCAATTTTTGGTCTATTTTCTAGCTGTCTGCGTATGTGATTGGTAATGAATTCTGAGAAAAAAGGACGCTAAATTTAAAATAACTTTTAAAACATACCGAGCCTGCACATTTATCCAGTTCTTTTGGAGGTAGAATTTTAGCACTATTGGCTACCAAATGTTTATTCGCTAAGATAGGCATTAAGTAGACACATGGAAAGACGAATATGGCGTCTTTACCGCATGCGAGGCCTTGCGCCACGTTCTGGGGATACAGCCGAGTAAGAGGCGAGCCTGAACGGAGTTTACAACCAGTTTTTACTTTACAACGGCTCTGTCTGTTGTCTTATACTTACATTTGTCGGTGCGAATTAAAAAATAATGTTTAGGCCTAGCCGGCTTGGCTCAACGGAGCGCCGGCCTGCGGACTGCAAGGTCCCGGATCGGATTCCAGTCCAGGGCGTGTACCTCGGTCGCAGGCTCCTCCCCGGCCTGGTTCTGGCCCGGGCGCGCGCGCGCATGCCTGAGGCAAACCATGTGTTTCTCTCACTTCAGTATTCCTGTCTGTCTTTCTTCCACTTGCTCTAAAAATCAATGGAAAAATACCCTCGGGTGAGGGTTAGAAAAAATATTGTTTATAATGGAACTGATCGTTAACACTTACTGCTTGGTAAAGGAGGAAATGGAGGCGCAACTTTGTTCCACATTACTCTGTTTACCAGATTGTAGTGAGGCAGCACATAAGAAATAACTTGGTTATGAAGGAAGGAGGTAACATAAGGTCTAGAAAAATACAGGGGTTGGCAAAAGGAGGTTTATAGTTGTGAGTACATGAAACAGTTTATTCTTGTGCTATTGTTTATTAATAAAGCTGTTAACCTGCATGTCTTCCCCATTAGAACAACTGCAAACCTATTTTTGCCCACCTCTATATAGGGTGAGGGAAGAGTTTTGTGTTTTTTTTTAATATATTTTATTGATTTTGTACAGAGAGGAAGGGAGAGAGATAGAGAGTTAGTTAGAAAGATCGACGAGAGTCAGTCATCGATCAGCTGCCTCTTGCACACCCCCTACTGGGGATGTGCCCGCAACCAAGGTACATGCCCTTGACCGGAATCGAACCCGGGACCCTTCAGTCCCCAAGCCGACGCTCGCTCTATCCACTGAGCCAAACCGGTCCCGGCGAGGGAAGAGTCTTTTAAGAAGGCAGAGCCTGGGGCGTGTTTAAATGCTGATAGGCATTGAGACTTAAGGGTTTTTTAAAAACATCATCTGGCCCTAGCCAGTTTGGCTCAGTGAGTAGAACATTGGCCTGTGGACTGAAGGGTCCTGGGTTCGATTCTGGTCTAGGGCACATACTGTACTTGGGTTGCAAGCCTGATCCCCAGTAGGAGGCAGCCAATTAATCTCAGCATTGATATTTCTATCTCCCTTTCCCTTTCTCTCTGAAATCAGTAAGAGTATATTTACAAACACCATCTGAGCAGGATACTTGGAGTAGGGATCTGAAGAGGAAGGAGGGTGTAGGTATAAAAAATAAGCTTTAGATAGGGGAGGGTGTCTTGTCCACCCCTAGCAGAGACAAGGAGTAAAGAGTAGCTGCAGCCCTGACTGGTTTGTAGAGCATCAGCCTGCGGACTGAAGGGTCCCATGTTCGACTCCAATCAAGGGCATGTACCTTGGTTGCTGGCACATACCCAGTAGGGGTGTGCAGGAGGCAGCTGATCAATGTTTCTCTCCCATCCATGTTAATAACTCTCCCTTGCCGAAACCGGTTTGGCTCAATGGATAGAGCGTCAGCTTGAGGACTGAAAGGTCCCGGGTTCGATTTCGGTCAAGGGCATGTACCTTGGTTGCGGGCACATCTCCAGTAGGGGGTGTGCAAGAGGTAGCTGATCGATGACACTCTCTCATCGATGTTTCTAACTCTCTCTCTCCCTTCCTCTCTGTACAAAAATCAATAAAATATATTTAAAAAAAAATAAAATAACTCTCCCTCTTCCTTCCTCTCTGTAAAAAAACAAAACAGAACAGTAAAATATATATTTTTTAAAAAATAGCTGTGGCCCTAGCTGGTTTGGCTTACTGGACAGAGTGTCTGCCTGCAGACTGAAGGTCCCAGGTTCAATTCCAGTCAAGGGCACATGTCTGGGTTGTGGGCTTCATCCCCAGTGAGAGGTGTGCAGGAAGCAGCCAATCAATGATTCTCTCCCATAGACATTTCTCTCTCCCTCTTCCTTCCTCTCTGAAATCAATAAGACTATATTATTTAGAAAGAAAGAAAGAAAGAAAGAAAGAAAGAAAGAAAGAAAGAAAGAAAGAAAGGAAGGAAGGAAGGAAGGAAGGAAGGAAGGGTGGGTGCAGGTGCAGCTAAGTTTTGGTGTGGGCAGCTCAGAAAGGTTGAGGAGGTTCTAATCTGAGGGCTTATGTTTTTTTTTTCCTCTGAAGAAGAAGGCAAGGAAGAAATTCAAGACTTAAAAGTCAAGTAACCTACTAATGTTACCATCTAAAAATGGTTCTTGATCCGTTCTTGTACATGGAGCAGTGGGTTTTATAAAACTATAGAGTATGGCAGTAATTATTTTAATTAAGGTTATTTTCCTGCAGCACTCATTATCTGTAATCACATTTAATACTTAGTATATATTAGCACTCTTTTTCTCACTGTACAGGACTTTTTTTTCCTCCCCCTAAGCTTCAGTCTTCTTGAATCCCAAGATGAATTTTCTGAACTCACCTTGAATTTTGATATCAAATGCAGCTAGAATTTCAACATGGTTCTGTTATCACCATGGTACATGTTAACTTATCACCCAGGACCTTAGTTAACACAAAGTGCTGTAATGGGCTAAAGGAAATAATGTACTTAAAACAGCACAAAATATAGATACCCTTTCTAATTTAGTTTATTTCTTAGATCCATCACTAACATAGTGCCAAAGATTCAATATATACTTGGTATGTATCTCCTGTTCTCTAATGGTAGTGACTAGGTCCAGATTAAGAGATGAGCCCATCAAGTAGTTATCCAGGTGGCTAACCATAAAGGAGGGAAAACTTTTTATTGCGATGCCAAGGAGAATGCTGTATATGGTTAGGAAGGAAAGGCACTTGGGGGGGAAAGGTCAGTGGATTGTAGTGGAGGCAGAGTGGACAAGCTGGCACAGTCCCACCATCAGTACTCACCTCTTCCTTCTCCCGACCCACTGCCACACAAGCAGAATTCTGATTCTGTTAAAAAATAAACAAAATATAGAAATACTCAAAATGTGCCAAATTGTATTATTTGCTCCCTTAAGCAAGTCCATAAATATTAATCCAATTTTGATGGTATTGATGATGGTGATGACTTAAGCAAGCTAAAATCCTTTTAGAACTGGGTAGGGTTCTGGTTTTCCTGTCTTAGAAAAGCGAAGTCTGTCTTTGTTTATAACACACGGTGTCAGTTTGTATAGTAAACAAAGCAAAGGCATGCCTCCACTGTCCATTATAAAATATTTGGGTTTCCATGCCTAAACCGGTTTGGCTCGGTGGTAGAGCGTAGGTCTGCGGACTGAAAGGTCCCGGGTTCGATTCCAGTCAAGGGCATGTACATTGGTTGCGGGCACATCCCTAGCAGGGGGTGTGCAGGAGGCAGCTGGTCGATGTTTCTCTCTCATCGACGTTTCTAGCTCTATCTTCCTTCCTCTCTGTGGAAAATCAATAAAATATATTTAAAAAAAAATATTTGGGTTTCCTGAGCTGAAGTTTCCCCTCCAATAAGGCCACCCACTTCACCTGCAAGTGTTCCCTTACCCTTTTCCCAAAGGAAATGCTGATGTTCTGGATGTTGCTATTGCTATGAGTAAGGCTAACTTGTCCATGTGTAGGCTCTCTACAGTTCTTGATACCCACACTAAACAGTCTGTAGCAGGGTAAATTAAACATTTTGAGTGAACAAAGCAGAAGCTCCGAGAAGCATAGACCTGACTATAATTGAGACAGATAGGAAGACTATATTTTAAAATTGTGGCAAAATAGATGTACATGCCTCTCATTCTGATCTAAAAACTTCTATGCCTTGTTAAAATTTCTTGATAAAGATTTGTATCTAAATTTTTTATTTGAACTAGAAATTTAAACCTGGTAACAATAATGTCCTTCTTGGTTTCTAAAAGGTAAGAATTTAAACTAGTAGCATTGGCCATTACTAGCAGAACTGTTTTCTGTAATGAAAAAGCTTTATGTAGAGATAACTAATTTTCACCCACCTATTATTTTAAAAGCCTAGGGAATAGAATGAGCTTATGAAATATGTCTTGTGGGTCATGCTAA